TTCCCCACTCCCTCTCCCTCTCTCTCCCCCTCTCTCTGCCCCTCGCCTGCTGTCACACACTCTCTCAAAATAAATAAAATAAAACAACAAAAAAAGTTTGTTTGGGGTGCCTGGGTGACTCAGTTGATTAAGTGCCCGACTTTGGCTCAGGTCATGATCTTGAGGTTTTTGAGTTCAATCCCCACATTGGGCTCTGTGCTAACAGCTTAGAGCCTGGAGCTTGCTTTGGATTCTGTGTGTGGCTCTCTTTCTGCCCCTCCCCCACTCTCTCTCTCTCTCAAAAATAAATAAACATTAAAAAAAATTAAAAAACAAGTTTGAGAGCAAGACAGTATGTGCGTGCACATGCATGGGAGGAGCAGAGAGAGAGAGAGGGAGAGAGAATCCCCAGCGCTTGCACTGTCAATGCAGAGCCCTATGTGGGGCTTGATCTCACCAACCCTGAGATCATGATCTGATCTGAAATCAAGAATCCAGTGCTTAACTGACTAAGCAACCCAGATGCTCCTCTAGTACAAGAATTATTTACTCTTTGAGTATTTGATAGAATTTGCTTGTGAGGCCATCTGGGACTGGGATTTTTTTTTTTTTTTTTTTTTTTTTTTTTTTTTTTTTTTTTTTTTTTTTTTTTTTTTTTTGGTGGGACAATTTTAAAAATTACTAAGTAACAGTTACAGGACTATTCAAATATTCTATTTCCTTGTGATTCAGGTTTGTCTGTCTTACCTATATTTTCTAGTCTCTCGGCATAAAGTTGTTCATAATACTCTCTTTTACCTTTAATGTTTATAAGAATCTAGTTTCTACCTCTTTTCATTCCCAGTATTGGTTATTCGTGTCACCTGTTTTTCTTAAACTTGCTAGAGGATTTCCCAGTTTTGTCTTTTCAAAGAATTTTTGGCTCTGATGCTCTGTTGCATGGTTTGTTTTCTGTGTCATCAATTTTGCTTTTTTATTCCTTCTATTTATGTTTTAAGGCTTATTTTGCTATTCTTTTTGTAACTTCTTCAGGTGGATGCTTATTAGTGTATTGATTTCAGCCTTTTCTTATGCATGCACTTAAAACTGTATATTTCTGGGGCGCCTGGGTGGCTCAGTCGGTTGAGCATCCGACTTCGGCTCAGGTCATGATCTCGCAGTCCGTGAGTTCGAGCCCCGCGTCAGGCTCTGTGCTGACTGCTCAGAGCCTGGAGCCTGTTTCAGGTTCTGTGTCTCCCTCTCTCTCTGACCCTCCCCCATTCATGCTCTGTCTCTCTCTGTCTCAAAAATGAATGAACGTTAAAAAAAAATTAAGAAATAAAAACACTTTACTTTGTAAGGGATAGTTAAAAAAAAACCTGTATATTCTGTTTATAAATTCTGCATCCCACAAGTTTTGTTATGTAGCATTTTTGTTAGTGCTCACTTCCAGATAATTTCAGTGTTTCATTATCTGTTGACTTATGGGTTACTTAGCAGTTTATTTCTTAATTTCTAAGCAATGGAAGATTTTCCATTTAGCTTTCTGTCATTGATTTCTAGCTTAATTGAACTGTAGCTAGAGAGTTCCTAATTTCAGACCTTCAGAATTTGACTGTGGTCCAGTGTACGGTAGCTTGTTACCAATGGTCCATGTATGCTTGAAGGAATGTGTGTCCTGGAGAGGTTGGGTAGAGTATTCCATAAATGTCCATTAGTTCATGTTTTTTTTTTAATCCTGCAGTTCAAATCTTATATGTTTAGATTCTCGTTTGACCTGCTTATTCCATCAGATACTGACAGAGGTGTCAAAATCTCCCAGTACAGTTAGTTGTTCTTGTTCTTGTCCTCCTGGGGAACTGAAAGTTTTAGGCTTTATCGCATATTTTTTACTTTAGATTTTGTGTTGCTTAATTTTAATATAGCGTACTTTCTTTTGATTACTGTTTTCATGGTATTTATGTGTCCATCCTATTACTTTCAGTCTTTCTGTATTCCTGTTTTATGTATGTCTCCTATAACTAGGGAAGTCCAGCCAGGTAATCTGTAGCTTTTAATTGGAACAGGTTAATCCATTTTCATATAATGTAATGACAGAGGTCATATATTTTAATTTATACCTCCATCTTATTTTGCTGTCTCTATTTCTTTTCCTCTTTTTTTTCCCCCTCCTGTTTTTGAATTGATTTTTTAAAAATAAATTCTTATAAATTCTATTTCTGCTTCGGTGCTAGTGTGGAAGCTATACTTTTTTTTTTTTTTTTTTTGGAAAAAAAAATTTTTTTTAATCTTTATTTTGAGAGAGAGACAGAGTGTGAGCAGGGGAGGAGCTGAGAGGAGGGAGACCCAGAAGCCAAAGCAGGCTCCAGGCTGTCAGCACAGAGCCTGACATGGGGCTCAAACTCACAAACTGCAAGATCATGACCTGAGCCGAAATCACTTAACCCACTGAGCCACCCAGGGGCCCCTGGAAGCTATACTTTCTATTTCCGTTCCTTTAGTCATCTCTCAAGAAATTCTAATAGGCATTCTCAACTTAAGGTGATGTTAATCATCACCTTTCCTGTCCTTCCAGGATAAGTGCCTGAAGAGCCTGTAACTCCGTTTGTCCTTTCCTTACTCAAGTGCTGTTGTTATGTGTTTTAGTTCTCTATATATTTTTAAATCTCACATTACATTATTTTCGGTAGTGAGTCTCCATGTAAATTTACCCATATATTTATTACTTTTTTTAGCTTTTCACTTTTTTTCTTGCATCCAGACCTCTCTGTGATCATCTCCCATTTTCCAGAAGTATGTCCTTTGCACTTCCTGTGCTGTGGGTTAGCTGGAGGTGAACTCTCAGGTTTTGGTTCACTACGAATCATTCTCCCCCCTCCTTCTTGAAACATATTTTTAACTGAATACTAAGTGCTAGGTTAATAGAATGCTAGGATATAGGAGGAAGGGAAGAGGAAGAGAAGAGAAAGAGAGCATGAGAGCTCTCTAGTGTCTCTTCTTCTAAGGACACTGATCGTGTTGCATCAAAGCCCCACCCTTATGACCCCGTTCAGTCTTTATTATTTCTTAGAGGCTCTGTCTCCAAATACAGCCACGTGGAGGGGTTAAAGCTTTGGCATGTGAACTTTGGGGGGACACAAACATTGAATCCACACTAGGTGACATTTACATAATGGTTGAGCTCTTATGGCTTATAATTATATTATTTCTGATGTCTCTACTGTTAATAGTGAATCATTTCCCATGTATTTGGGCATATTTTTGCCCCATAATTATTTAGCAAGTGTGTAGGGAAGAGAATAACATTTGTACATTTGTTTCTGGAATCTACAAAATTTGTTGGTGAGGTTGTTGTACACTTCGCAGCTAAATTCTAACCATCTATTACAGTTAAGTAAATATTTTCAACTTATTTACATATTGATTCTATTTTTCTTTATCTTAGCTGTGTTGGTGTAGAAGAACATCATGCTGTTGACATTGACCTTTATCACTGTCCCAACTGTGCAGTTCTACATGGTTCCTCCTTGAGTAAGTACTAGAAGCTTAAATAAAAACTGAAGTTTAGAATTTAATGTGTACAGGGTGCCTGGGTGGCTCAGTCAGTTGAGTGTCTGACTCTTGATTTTGGCCAGGTCATGATCTCATGGTTCATGGGATCAAGCCTTGTGTCGGGCTCTGCACTGACAGCTTAGAGCCTGCTTGAGATTCTCTCTCTCTCCCCCTCTCTCTGCGCCTCCTCCCCTCACGCTTGCATGTTTTTTTCTCTCTCTCTGAAAATAAACAAACATTAAAAAATAAAAGGAATTTAATGTGTACATGACAATATTTTAATAATACTTTCACTAGTTATGTTACATCCACTAAGAACTGTAGGGAATATTTTTCTGAAGATGCTGAGAATGCACTTTCTGACTGAATTATTGAATAACTTATTTCATAAGTCAAAAAGATTAAATGAAAAAATATTATTCTTAATTGCCAGTGCAAAGCCCCCAAATTCAAGGACATATATTCAAAGTTTTCAATTTGAGAAATGTGAAAAATTTGCTAATTCTAGAAACTGATATCAACTGCTTTTATCTCTTTATAAATAAATTAAAAAAACCTTTCAGTAATATTTGGGACAGACTTTAATGCACACACATGCATTATATTTTTAGGAGAAAATTAGGGCATCAATATGCTAAAATATTACTTACGTTTTCTGAATTTGGTCATCAGTTTGAGTATGGCCTAGAGTCCTGCCCAACTTGAAGCCACACCCCGTCCAGTCCCATTCTGAGGAAGACCGAAGCCAGACCAAGTGTCTGCCTGCACTCTTCTGCCCCAGGGGCAGGACACAGGCAGGGAAGTTCACACATCCTCTGGGGTGTACCAGCGTCACACACAAAACGATATTTTACAGATGCTTCAGAAGAATAGACTGGAATGTTAATGGTCATTGTGCAGATGGAAAGTAGGGATAACGTTTAAAAGGTTTTGAAGGATGTTACAACTTTCTTTTGTAAAAAATGTAGACTACATACTAGAATTTTTGTGTTCATGAGACTAGAGGGAAAAACCAGGCTTAATCATTTTGCAATAGGAAGAAAACTCTACCTGAACATACTTTGATACACACTTGAGTGAGATGTAGGTAACCTATCCAACCTTTTTAAATGCAGCTTTTTTCCTAGTATTTTTTTCTTCATAGAAATTTTTTTCTGAAGTTGTGGGCAAGTAATTACTTAAGAGAAACTTACTAGCAACTGACTGCTTATCTGTTAGAAATATTAGTAATTTATCTAGTCTCTGTAAGAGATTGAGAAATTTAAGCTGTAAGAATACATTAAAATATTTCCTTGTAATCTACAGGTTATCCATTTATTAGTTACACAGTATAAAATTTGAGGTTAACAAATTGGTAGAATTGTTAGTGTAATTGACCAGTTTATTGTCATAAATGTTTTTAAAAGTTCTTATTTTGTGTAGCCGTGAAGTATGTGGCATATAACTTGTAATAATTATTGACCAAGTATAATTCTTAGAGGGAATAACCAATACTGGGTTGTTATTTCAAGAAAGGAAACGGAACTAAAATTTATAACAGTTTTAGTTTAGAATTCAAGTATGTAATCCCAAAATGAAATAATTTGAATTTAATTTCTATGAAATACCAGTGGGTTAACTATGATATGTGATGCACTCTATTTTCTATTTTTCCTGTGTGATTTAATTTTTTAAAAAGCTTGTCATCCTCACTAAATTGATTTCACAATCCATAATGGATCACGACCTGCACTTTGAATAACGATGCTTCAGAGAGAAGCTTGACTACTGCCTGGCCCTGGCCTGTATGCTTCTCATCCTTGAATAACATAAGGTCAGGCATTGGTTATCTTCTGGGCAAGAGTCCAGCTCTGAATACCCACAGGGAAAATGCCCAAGATCCAGTAATTTGTTTTATCTTGATCTAAGGCTCATTTTCCCCACCCCCTCACCCTCCACCCTCAACTTGGGTCATCCCTTTTGGCCTCTTTCCCTCTGCTGTTAAGCCTCTCTTGCTGGCTACCTAGGGCTTCTGTCTTCTCAGAATTCCCTGGGAATTCTTATTATAGATACTATTAGTCAGTATAATACCCACTTGGTATAGTGAATTTAGACTTGACCCTTTTAATGGGAATCAGGAACTCTATTCAAGGGCAAGTATCAAAAAAAGCCCAATACTTAAATACATACCTCAGTGCTCCTCAGGCACATGGAAGCCAAACTCAACATTTTCTCTCCCTAGGACCACTGCTAGAATATTCCTTCCCCTCAGATATTCAGCCAGCTTCTTGCAGTGGCTGATTTTATGTGTTAAGCCTGTTGGCCTAACAGGACATTTATAACATTCTGTTAACATCATGCAAGACTGCTTATTTAAAGGGAAAGAGAAGTAATTGGCAGCTCATGGGATGCCCCGGACACTGTGCTAAGAAGTATTTGACCTCTGTCATTTCCTTTGGTATTTGTAACACCTCGATGTGAGAAAAACATTATCTAACCAGCTCTTTCACGTAGCTGTTTGGTAGAGCTGGGGTTTGAGCCCATAGCTGTCCAGTCCCAAATCTGTTCTAATTCTAATCTGTTCTGCCGAAATGAAAATTAAAACAATGTAATACCATAGTTTACTTATCAGATGGGCAGCCTTTTCTTTTTCTTTTTTTAAATGATGATGCTCACTGTTGATCCAGGGTTTTGAAATGGCTGCTGCTTATATGTACACTGGTAAGAATATGAGTCACCTACTGCTTTTCTGGTAAGAGTATGAGTTACCTACCACTTTTCTGGAGGCAGTTTTGCAGTATGTAGCAACTATCTTCATAATATTGAATCTTTCTTCTAGCATTTCTAAGAATTTATCCTGAGGAATTAATGAGGGAAACAGATTTATGTATATGAATATTAATCTTAACTTTGTTTGAAGAAAGATTCAGAATGAGCTAAGTGCTTAAGAATCAAAAAAAGGATTATAAAATGATGCATCTACATCTACGTCTTAAAATTCTAGGCTGCCTTTAAATTGCTTTTGAATATTTAATGAGAAAATGCTCCTGATAGAATAAGAAAGGTAAGCAGGATGAATATCATGATCCCAGTTGAAAATAAAATGGGGTTATGAATCTATATAGATGTAGAACAGAAGCCTGAAATGAAACACCCTTGAATTTTACAAGTAATTTAAATGAGAAAAAAATAACACACGAAGGATATTAGGAAATGGTATTTTCTAGGAAGGTTGCTTTAAGATTCTCAGTTTTTCTCATGAGACTTTTAAAAAATGGGATTTATTCTTCTCCATGTTGAGGGTCTGACTGCCACGAATTACTTGGGAATCTTGTTTTAAACTCTTAGATATGAATAAGGCTTATTTCCTCCCCTATTGGGTATTTAGTGTGACTTCTTATCCATATGAGGATCCAGTATTATTGTATTATTATGATCTTTGTAAGGTGCAGGTTTAAAATAACTTAGATTCATAGAGTTGCCCCCGCCCCATGTTTTATTATGACATTGTTCTAACATACAGGAAAAGTTGAAAGAATTTTGCAGGAAGTACCTCCAAACTCACCATCTAGGACTCTATTAACATTTTACGTTATTTGCTTCGCTGCGGTCTGTGTAACTATCCCACTGTCTATTTGTGTATCCATTTTTTTTTTTTTGGATGCATTCTAAGCTGGTTGCAGACTTCAGTACATTTCCCAGAATCATGAAGGTTTTAGGCTTAAGAGTGATTTTCGAACTTAAAAAAAAAAGATAGAAAATTGACATCTTACACCGATAGCAACAAAAGGGACGTATGTGGTGCTGCCCTGGTGGAAGCAGAATGAGGTCTGGAGTTCCCTTTTCGGCCTCTTCTCCATCTTCCGCTTTATCAAGGGTTTCTTGACACAGTTTGAAACACAGCCCTCCTGCCTCCATTTCCACTTGAGAAAACTGGACCCAGTCGTGTTCCGTGACTTGCCCAAGGTTGTGGAGTAAGTCATGGCTGAACTAGGAGTCAAATCCAAGTCTACTGATTTTGATTGCCGTGACTCTTGAAGATCGTAGCCGCCCAGAGCTGTAGCATCACAGGATCTTAGCGTTAGAACTAATCATAAAGTTATTTGTTCTGTCATTCCTCTTGTTTTCCTTTAATTATGATGTAGCCACCTGCTCTTCTTTTGTGGCAGTGTAAGTATGCTTATTTTGGGAATAGATCTTGACATAAAAGAGAAGGGAGCTGTGCTGTTGGAATAAATTTCCGATGTGGGATCAAAGGTCCTATCCTGAGAGGATGACTTGGATGATCCGTAAAAACCATATTATGACTTAATGGTCTAGTGAAAGTCATGATTTAAAATAATTGTGATATTTTATAGTATGTGTAAATGTGGCTATTATAATGGACTCCACCTGCTAATTTGAATTTGTTTTCATTAAAAATTTTTTTGAAATAAAAAGATTTTTAAAAATCCACAGTTAATTGCCTATAATTGCAGCATTACACAAAGTAAAATTTACCTCTTCAGCGTGGAAATGCATTAAAAAGCAAGTGTGTTTGTACTTAAACAGTTGTTATTTCTGATTATATAGAATATAACTTTTAGAAAGTGCATGGTGTCACCAGTTACCAAAACTGTTTTCTTTTTCTAATCTGAAAATCCAGTGAAAAAGAGGAGGAACTGGCACAGGCATGACTACACCGAAATTGACGATGGCTCCAAACCAGTGCAGGCTGGGACCAGGACTTTTGTTCAGGAATTACGTTCTCGAGTCTTCCCAAGGTACGGAAACTTGTTGTGACCAAAGACAATTGGAGAGTGTTACCTGGTAACGTGACATTATCTAAAGCAATGTTTTCGAATTTCAGGTTGCAACCCCATTATTCTCAGATTTTTACCTTTTTTTTTTTTTTTTTATAAATGAAATAGAAAATATCGGCATGTTGTTAGCAACAGGAATAAGTAAGTGCAGTTTCACGAACTATTGTGTCCTATATGTGTACTGGGTCACCTTATAAAAATATATTCACTGTTGATCTCTGTCCAGAAACTCTGAGATACACTAAGCCTGGTGCTGGGTTCCTTCTGCTGTACAGCTGCTGCTTCTCTTTCTCTTTTACCTCATCTCTTCTGATTTTCAAACTTGGGTTTTTTCTTAGGTAGTTTGCATCTCTCTCTCTCTACCCTAGGGCTACCAGAGGGACCCATAACCATGGCTTGGCCTCTCTGGGGGCACCAGGACTAGGCTTCTTGATTTTTTGAAGTTAATGGGAAGTGTTTGACTTATCTGTGGCTCAAAGAGAGTCAAAAGTATGATCCAGCTTTGAATCATGCTCATTGAGATCATTTCCTGCTTGCTGCCTGACATCTATTTAAAGTGATAATGCTTAATAGCCTTTTACACAGATCATATCCAGGCTTGTGAAAGAGGGGAAGCACGATTTAAATTTAAATCACAACATCACGTGCAGCCTCTTATGGAATTATTTCAGATCCTGTGACTATAAAACCCTTGACGTTGCCTCACAGCCTTTACATTCCGGTCTGTCCCCTTCCCCTTAATCCAGAAACCTAGAATTGATACGTGCCTCGTGTTGGCTCCCTCAGGTCTACTGAGGTTTCCACAGTGGTTTCCACATGACTTTTGTGATATTAAAGTCCCTAGTCTCAACATTTCTCTTTTCTCAGTTTCAAAGGGGTTAGGAGAATGTTTGTTTTCCTTGATTGGTTCAGAGTCTAGAGCCAGAGTTTCCGGCCTGGGCCTACGGACTGGCTTCAGAGAGGCATGTGAGTTTCTTACAACTGTATAAACAGTTCAGTGTCAGTATGTGAATGTACATTTTTCAGGAAGAGGAGCCATAGCTTTTATTTTTTTCGAATAGGTTTGTGACCCAAAAGAATAGTGTTAAAAATCCTGGCTATGCCGGTGCCTTCTCTGCCAAAGTAATTACTAACGAGAGCAAGTTATGGAGATGGTCACAGATGTCTAAATTATAATTACCATTAATTAAAGGTCTTTGGTTTTCTTTTGTTTAACTCTGTAAACCTTCATATCATTTAAAACCAGAGAGTGACAATAATTAGTTAAATTACACATACTTGATGTGATTAACACACCAAGTGTATAAGATAAAGTGAATGGGTTATCTTTCTCCTCCCCTGTTTTAAGACTTAGTGTAAGCCTTTTGTCTACATAATTACATTTAAGATACTTATGTTTAGGAGCGCCTGGGTGGCTGAGTTGGTTAGGTGTCTGACCCTCGATATCGGCTCAGGGCATGATCTCATGGTTTGTGGGTTTGAGCCCTGTGTCAGGCTCCGCACTGATGGCGTGGAGTCTGCTTGGAATTCTGTCTTTCCCTCTCTGTCTCTCTCTGCCCCTCCCCAGCTCGTGTGTGTGTGTTCTCTCCCAAAATAAACTTATAAATAAATAAAATAAAGTATTTTAGTATATAGATGTATGAATATATAAATATATATGCATCTAATTTTTTTTTTTTTTAATTTTTTTTTCAACGTTTATTTATTTTTGGGACAGAGAGAGACAGAGCATGAACGGGGGAGGGGCAGAGAGAGAGGGAGACACAGAATCGGAAACAGGCTCCAGGCTCTGAGCCATCAGCCCAGAGCCCGACGCGGGGCTCGAACTCACGGACCGTGAGATCTTGACCTGGCTGAAGTCGGAGGCTTAACCGACTGCGCCACCCAGGCGCCCCTGCATCTAATTTTTTAAGTGGGGTTATGTTATGCAAATGATGTGCAGCTTAATTCTATTATATTTCATTTGTGTCTTTCTCTATGTGTACAAAAATGTACCTCCCTCCTTAACTGCTGTGTAGTATGCAGTTGTGTATATTCGCCATAATTTACTTAACTGTCCCTCTGTGATACATGTGTAGTTTGTCACCAGTTTTTTTCTCTTGCAAGTACTAGATTTTAATAGGTTTAAAAAAAAAACTGTGTTTTTAAGCACTTGTGTTTATGTATTTTTGATCAACAGGGGAAGTAAAACACCAAACGTTAAAGATCAGGGTGTACAAGTGATTCGAAATTCTCCTTTAGGTTGGAGTTCAAGGAAGTGTTTGATTGTCAGAGGTTGGGGAAGGAGGGAAACTGGGGGGTGGGGGGGAGTAGAAGGTAGTACAGAACTCAGTGAGTCCGGTGAAGGAGATCTACACCCTCCAAATGTAAGACTATCCAGGAAAAGTCTATCTCATTTTGGGGAGCCTCAAACCGACCTTTTCTTATTGAGAGGGTGGACAGAGCCAGTAATTCAGAGAACTGGTACCTCTTGTCTTCTCTTTGACGGCTAAGCCACAGATGACATCAAGACGGTTAAGGTCTCGTTGTGTAAATGGAAACTCTTGTGATCTAACCTATAATGCAAGGGTTGCACTTACTTGAATGTACGGCAGCTGCATTCTGGGAGCAATTGGGAGATAAAATCTAGAACTTCCCTTAAGGAGATCTTCAATTTATGGCAAGAGAGAGGACAGTGAAAAGGGGCAAACCACACTTAAGTGTAATGCCTGTGGAGTGTTAATCATCAGAGAGGGCGTGTGGGGTTATCCTTTTTTAGTGGCTTAAGGTGACTGCTTACTGGAACTTATGAAATACTTGTGGTACCAGATCATTTAAGTCAGGAGTTCATTCTGGACGTTTGTCTCAGTGGGCAGGGACTGTGAGAGCCAGTCTGCCTGTGTTGTGCAGGACAGCAGTGAATTGTTCTATGGCCATGAGACTTTGAAATGTCTGACAAGTATTTATGTAGAATTTTATAGCCAGATGGAATCTGATCTGTTTTACTTATCCTGACACTAATTTTTATTCTGATGTGCCCCTTCCCTTTTGCTCTTCTGATTTCCTACACGACTTGTGTTGAGTGGCTTCTGATCTAGTTACTTTTTTAAATTCAGCCACTCATTACAACAAATCGTAATCACCCTATTATTATATTCTCTCTTCTAGCATAGTTTTCCTAAACATTTACATCTTGAAATATATATATTTTGCTGTAATTTTTTTCTCTTGTGTTAGTGAAGGCATCTAATACAATACATCTGTATTTTTCCAATTATATGTATTGGACTAATTATGAATTTTACTTTAGGGTAGTAAAAGAGACTTTATAAAAACATTTTTTATAGAATGGAGAATTCGGTACGACAGGTTGAGAACTGCTGATATGGACAATAATGCAGTGTATGAATTAACCCATTACCAGACTATTTTTTTAAAACTGAACTTAACAACAAAGATGACATTTCATCCTTATGTTTTCCTTAGTGCCGATGAAATCATTGTAAAGATGCATGGCAGCCAGCTGACACAAAGATACTTGGAGAAACATGGATTTGAAGTTCCTATTATGGTCCCCAAATTAGATGACCTGGGACTCAGGCTCCCTCCACCTGCTTTTTCAGTCATGGATGTGGAACGCTATGTAGGTACGCACTTGATTCCTTTAAGTACTTGGGAAAATGCGGTAAAAGTAATAGTGGTATTGTCCTAATAACATGAGAAGTTCAGTGAGGAGATGTTAATTTAGTTCAGTTTTCTGGGTCAGGAAAAGTGAAATTCAGTATCACCTATATTGAAAACTATTTCTTCTCAGCAGACCTACAATTACCAGGAAAACAGAATGAAACAATGTTATCTATTCTTATTTACTCAGGCTCACCATGCTGCTTTTTTTTGTCATCAAATTCTCTGGTACTTGCTTAGGAAAAACGTAACTGAGGTGTAACTGTAAATACTAAGAAAGACACTGGGAAGCCGGACGGGTTCATTCAGAGAGGAATCTCTGGGTCCTGGTGTTGTAGTGGCCTCCTGTGTGTAGAGAAAGACTAGAAAAAAGAGGAGACCATTTTCAAGGCTGTTTTTATATTAACGACTTGATGATATTGCCACTTAATGATGTATGGACTCCATTTGTGATGTTGAGGCCCAGAAAGGCTTAAGAAACAGGAGGGAAAACCATTTATGTCTTGCCATCTTCTTGACATTTTCAGTCATTTTGTTCCTTCTCATCATGCTATTTATAGATAAAACTGACTCTGTAGATCTCATTCCTTGTCAGCTGTAGATAGAGATTTTTTGAGGGTTAGATCTCAAATCTCCCTTGACTCAGAATTGTACATTTACTGTGATACATTATCTCCTGAGTCTGAAATGTCTGAGGACTTCTTCTTTTATTGAGCTGCTGGTTGACAGTTTTTATTGATAACTGTTTCACTGAGGAAACCCGGTTAAATGTCATGACTTCACATTCAGCTAATTTTGAGTTATTTGATGAATCAGGGGATGAGGCTGAGGTTTAACCTGAACCTGTTTGCATAAATAGCACTGTAGAGTCAGTGGCTAGCGACAAAATATTCAAATGACTGGATAGCTTCCTTTTCAGCACTGCAAGATGCCTTGGTTAACAATCGTATTGCCTCTGAAGTATAAAATAAAGTCTACTAGGTAATACTTTAAAGTTAAAGTAAGAAGATGGCATTTATTTGAATTCTTTTTCAGATTGGTTATTGCCGTGTTTTGAATTCCGCTTGTCCTGTAGCACATTGCAGAACTGGTGATGCTTCCTGGGGGGACAGTGCACTGGTGTGCAGGCGACAGCTCATGGTTTTATAGGAAAGTTATAAATTAATCCCAATTCACAACTCCTCTCACATGCACTAATAGGAACTGATTTTTGCTTCCTAACCGCTGGCTTTTTTCTTGAAGCAGAATATTAGAAGAGGAGACCCTACCTGGCAAGCAGAAATTGTCTGTTGTGGTTACCTTGCTCACTAGTTCCGCAGAGACTGATTGGTTTTTCTAAATGATAGAATCTTATAGAAGATACTTCTCAAAGAAGTTGTAGAAGTGAAAGGAGGAAGTCAGTCCGCTCATTTTATGCGTGAGGAAATGGAGAATCCGAGCATGTGGTGCACTTTGCACGTACCAATAGAATGCATTTTTGTCAGTATGAGCTGCACACGAAAAATCACTAGCGTATGGAAAACTTTGTAAACATTTAGGTTTTCACACTCAGTGTTAATGAGTAACTCTGTCTTCATTGCTTTATTCTTTCCCTCAAAAACTGCCCCCTTTTTCAAAAGTTCCAGTTGGACTTAAAAAGCAAGAATACAGGCAGATTCTTTGTCTAGGCTATGTAGTTTTATAGCTGGCTGAAGTGAATATGGTCTTTTAAATATTTTTGTTTAGGGCATCTATTGATGTAACTCTTAAGCCCGATAATAAGACTATAATTTTTCTCTGCAGGTGGTGACAAAGTGATAGATGTCATTGATGTGGCAAGGCAGGCAGACAGCAAAATGACACTTCACAATTATGTTAAATACTTCATGAATCCTAACAGACCAAAAGTGTTAAATGTGATCAGCCTTGAATTTTCAGATACAAAGTGAGTAGTTCTGGACATTTTGGTTTAGTCTTCTCAGTGTTAGCTGAATGTAGTTAAATGATACATTTATTTTAGTAAGAACTATAATTATTACTTCTAAAGTGGTCCAGTGATAGCAATGTTGTGCATTTTGCTTTGGCACACACAGAGAATATTTAGAAATACGATGAATTTTAAACTTTATTGGTGTTAACCTTGAGTTCCAGTTAATTTCTTGGTTTGGGTTGAGATGGGGGATGAAATTTTAAGAACTCATTTGCATGACGTGGGTATATGTATATGCGTGTGTTTGTTTTTTTTTAAAGGATGTCTGAATTGGTGGAGGTCCCTGATATAGCCAGAAAACTGTCCTGGGTGGAAAATTATTGGCCAGATGATTCAGTTTTTCCCAAGCCATTTGTTCAGAAATATTGCTTAATGGGAGTTCAAGACAGCTACACAGATTTCCATATTGACTTTGGGGGAACTTCAGTTTGGTACCATGTCCTCTGGGTAAGATTGGTATATTTCTCTGTTCCCTTATTGCCAGAAACACATAATCTTGTTTTTCCAGGAATGCATTCGTTTGCTATAAATGACATTTGTAAAGGGGGAAGTTTTTGTGCTTTTTAAGTAGGATCTATCATTTTACCTTTAAGTATTATGTTGTTGGTTTTTAAGTCTCAAGTAATGGAGGGGCCACCATGAGTTTTTAATTTATATTTAGATTCCTTTTTTTTTTTTGTCTCCATCTTATAAGTTGGTCTCTTTTAGCCTTTTGTCTCTGTTTCCTCTTTCTCCTAGTCAATGATCAGTTAATCCCTGAATCAAATACCTGATTATAGCAAAATTACAGTAGTAATTGCTTCTGATCTTAAGGGCAGGCCAGGACAGCTAGTTGGATAAATTGGGAATGCCCACAAAGCTGCTATTTTTTCTTGGCAGCTTATATTCACCTTGCTTTAGCTAGAATTGCATTGTTTGGTACAGTAGCCACTGGCCACACGTGGCGAAATTTAAGTAATAATAATTAAATACAATTTAAAATTCAGTTCCTTATTTGCACTAGCCACATTTCAAGTACTCAGCAGCCACATGTGGCTTATGACTCGTGTATTGGATAGCACAGATAAAAAACATTTCTATCATCACACACAGTTCTGTTGGACAGTGCTGGTCAAGAACCACATCTTCATCTATATACAATGCCTGTGCATCTGTGATGCTCTGGACTGTATTTGATGCTGTGTCCTTGAGCTTCTGTTCCTTTTCTCTAGGAGAAGGCAAAGGGTTAGTTGATGAAACGAAGTTTATTTACAGGCCTTTAAAAATAATCATATTGTAGATCTTAGGGGCAAGGGCAGAGTTTGCAGAGATGCCTCTCTGTGACCTGGGCCTGTTAACATGTATTTACTTGCATACTTTGAAAATGAGATCAGTAAGATGTTCATGATTCTTTACCCTCCTCTCTTCTAACTGCTTCTCCGATGCTGTCTTACTGACTTCTGCTCGGATTTTGGCGGGGGAGAGGAGGAGTTTTAGCTTTTGTGAAGATGTTTATTAAGGGCAAGAGCTATTGATCAGGTTTGTGAAAGGTGTCCTTTTGAGCCTAAAAAATCTGATAATTATGTAATTTAACTTAGATCGTTGTACTGGAAAATTGCATCACTGTAGGGCGTCTTAAGAATGGTGCTTTTTTTTTTCTTCAAAACTAGTGTGATTGCTTCCTTCTAGGGTGAGAAGATTTTCTATTTGATAAAACCAACAGATGAAAACTTGGCACTCTATGAGTCTTGGAGTTCATCTGTGACCCAGAGTGAGGTGTTCTTTGGAGATAAAGTGGATAAGTGCTACAAATGTGTGGTAAAGCAGGGACATACATTATTTGTTCCTACAGGTAAGGCTTTAATCCCATTCCCGTACCCCATGGTTGATACTCAGTCACATGAAGCTGGCTTTTTATTAGAACCTCTGGCTTTAACATGCTTGGAAAGTAGCTTTGCATAGCCTGAGAGATAATCCTGATTTTAGACTTTTCACTGCTTTGTCCGTTAGAGGGCTTCTCTTGTAGTTAGGACCTGTTTCAGAATTGTGTTTTTTGTCATTTGCCTTCATTTTAATTTTTATTCAGATAAAATTCACAAACCATGATATTTATCCTTTTAACATATAAGAGTGAGTGGTTTTTAGTAGATTAACAAAGTTGTGACCCATACCACTTCCAGAACATTTCATCACCTCAAAAAGAAACCCTGTACCAATTAGTTGGCATTCCCAACCTACCCATACCGCCGAGCCCTGGCAACCTCCATAAGCAGCAATGTGCTTTTTTTTTTCCTGTCTCTTTTAATGTAATTTCCTGTCTGATTGCCTGTTCTGGACATTTCATATATAATATGCGGGGTGCATGGCCTTTTGTATTTAGCTTCTTTTAGTTAGCATAATGTTTACTAGGTTCATCCATGTTGTAGCACATGAGTGCTTCATTAGTTTTTATGGACAAATGATAAAGATATACCACATTTTGCTTATCCATTTGTCAGTTGATGGACATTGGGTTGTTTCCGCTTTTTGGCTATTATGAATTGTGATGCTTTGAACATTTGTGTACAAGTTTTTGTGTGGAGCTATGTTTTCATTTCTCTTTGGTTATATATATATACCTAGTAATGGAATATACAGTTTATGACGTTTAACTTTTTGAGGAACTGCTAAACTGTTTTCCAGATGGTTGTACCATTTTACATTCCCACCAGCAATGTACACATGTTCTGATTTCTCCACGTCTATACCAACGCTGTAATTATCTTTTTTATTTTGACTGTTCTAGTAGGTGTGAAGTAATGGTATCTTATTATGGTTTTGATTTGCATTTCCTTAATGAGTAGTGATGCTGAACTTTTTTCTTGTGCTTAATGTGGCTATTTGTATCTCTTTGGAGAAATGTCTATTCATATCCTCTGCCCATTTTTAAGTTGGGTTATTTGTCTTTTTATTGTTGAGTTTTAAGTGTTCTTGATCTATTCTGTATACTAGATATATGATCTAGATATATCCAGATATGTGATTTGCAGGTGACTCTCCTATTGTGTGGCTTATCTTTTCACTTTCTTTATATGTTCGTTGTAATGTCCTTTCCACAAAATTTTGAAATTTTGATGACACCCTTTCAATTTTAATTAGTCGGCTCTACATTGCTGCCGAAGGCCAAGTCTGCTTTAAGAATCTGGGCTGCTGTCCTGGGACATTCTGGAGACAGCGGGTATATTTTGAGGGACCCTGGGAAGGGATTGAATACCAGCCTTAGCTATAACCTCAAGTATAGGTATCAGGTCAGTCACTTTGAGTTGTGACTGAATGCAGGGTATGGACTCTCCAAGCCAGTGGTTTTGAGAAGTATGTTTTTCTGATGTGGGTGACCTTCCTTAATGGCTGCAGAGTTCACAGGGATCTGTCGCCGCAGGTCTGGCTTTGTTGCCTTGCCTCTGGTGTATATAATAATAAATATGTATTGAATAAATGAAGAATAAATGCCTAGAACTGCCAGAATTTAGAAATCTCGATGAGTATCAATATTTTTATTGTGAGTGGGTTCAGCTCCTCCCTTCAATCCTCTTCCCAGGGCACCCTTTTATAACAAATATTTTGTTATGCCCTCTTCAAAATCTTGAATTCATATTCTTTGATGATATAACCTCCAGCAACCAATAATTTCCCCCAAAATGTAGTGCTCTAACTAGAATAGAAAGAAGAAATTAAAAAGTAATTTATAGTAAAATACAATTTTATATGTGCCTGTTCAGACAAGCGCATGATTGGCAACTGAAATTCTTTAGCATTGGTGTAGATTAATGGTTCTCAGATATCACTGAGCATTAGAATCACCTGGAAGGCTTGTTAAAACTCAGATTGCTAGGCCTCATCCCCAGCAGTTCTGATTTAGTAGATCTGGGAAGGGGGGCTGAGAATTTGCATTTCTGACAGGTTCCCAATTGATGCTGATGCTGCTGGTCAGGGGACCACACTTTGAGAACCATTACCGTAGGGACTGTTGCTTTTTTCCAGGGTAGCTGGCAGCTGATAAACTTTCAAACAAACTATACTTTCCTTCAATTTACAGAGTAGGTTGTATTCCTGGGAAATTGTGCCAAATGTGCAAAAAATACTGTTTACATATATAATGGACTTACAGTTTCTAGACTTCAACAGTTAATGGCAGATTTTGTACCTGTATGAGTGCCCAGGAGAGAGTCCTGACTAGTGCAGGACAGGACAGTTTCTTACTGCGTGGAGTGGCCTGCTCATTGCATCCCTGGCTCTCCTTCATGAAATGACAGTGGTGCCTCCTGATCACTGAGACAATCAAAAAAGGTCCTCCAAACTTCCCCAAACATCCTTTATAGACAGTGCTGCCTCTGTGGAGAACCACTGATGTATATATAGGATTCGTAGCTGACAAAAATTTCTAATTTGTGATTTCAGGGTGAAGCTCAAGGCTTTGTGTGCCTTTGAGCACACAAATGGGCACCACATGAAAGTCTTTAAAGAAGTTTTTTTCAGGGCACCTGGGTGGCTTAGTCGGTTAAGCGTCTGACTTCGGCTCAGGTCATGATCTCCTGGTTTGTGAGTTCGAGCCCTGCGTCAGGCTCTGTGCTGACAGCTCAGAGCCTGGATCCTGCTTCAGATTCTGTGTCTGCCCCTCCCATGCTCATGCTCTGTCTCTCTGTCTCTCAATGATAAATAAACGTTAAAAAATTTTTTAATGAAAAAAAGAGTTTTTTTCATGTTGTGTTGCAGCATGATGAGAGATCAAAAAATGAAAAATATAAAGAAAATGGGTTCTATTTTAGTAGCTGATTTTTACGTGCAAACGTGTGTATATATTTATATTTATATCAAGGCTTTATGTTCAGCATATGCATATTTTTTCAAAAGTTAGGCATCATCTCTTAGAAATGATTCTTACTTTCAAAACATTTTTGTGGGGAAAAAAAAGACCTCATTTTGATTGTCAACATTTATATTTATAGGACCATAACCTTCCATAATGAAATGTGGGTGATCTACCTTTTTCTTCTTAGAGCCAGGCCTCCAGCTGAGTTCTACTCTTGCTCCTCTGCTTAGTCCCTAAGGCACCACTCGTTTCAGGATGACCCTAGAGGAGGGACGTGCTCAGCCAGTCCCAGGTTCATTTCATAGACATGTGCTCAGCTCATTCTAGCCACATTTGACTACTCTCGGTGTCAAATCTTCAATGTGAAGTTGGGTTGTGTTTTTAAACTAAAAAACGAAAACGGCAATAACCACAAAAACCATCACCTATCCTGTACCATGATTTTGTTTGATTGGATCGATGCGTTTGTTTCCTCCAACTCAGCACAGAATCTGGCATATAATAGGCATTTAATGGATACTTAAATGAATGTATCTGTAGATCATAATAGACATTAACTTCTCTAGCTCGGGCGGAGTATGAAGTAAACTGATGTTGATATTGTGAGTTTCTTGTTTCCCAGATAGATAGCACATTTGTTTGGTTTAAATATTGAAAGATCACTGCTTTATGTTCTTTTAACTGTTTCAGGGTGGATACATGCTGTGCTCACATCTCAGGACTGTATGGCTTTTGGAGGGAACTTTCTGCACAACCTTAACATTGGCATGCAGCTCAGGTTTGTGTCATCAGTAATTTAAAGGATCTTTTGTTTTTTCTTAAATAGGGCATTGTTTTAAAGTTTCCAAAAAATAAATTCAGCAATATATTTTAATTGAAATCTCACGAAGAAAGGCCCTGAGAAATTATTAGAAATAGGACCTTTAAACAAATGTATTATCTACAAATTTTGTCAGGAAGGTTCCTTGATGTATTTCAACTCTAAAAACAAAAAGAATCATTTATTCAGTTTGAGACTAAATGTATCCCTGAATTTCAAAATTTTATAAAAATGGGTGGGTCCTCTCCTTTGACTGTTTTTACAATAAGGGAGATGAACCAAATCCCTCAGGCTCAGGTGTGACGGTGCTGGGGGAAAGTAATTCTAGGTTAGTATTGCTGAACACCTGCTTTAGTTTTGCTGTGGGTAAAGGATTAGCAGCTGTTTCCCCTTCTCTCTGAGAATTTGACCTTTGGATGCCTCTGTTCCCCTTGGTAGCCTGAAGAGAGTAGAATGTTACCAGGCTACATTCACTGCTTATGGTAAAATGATTTCTGATTGAGTAACTGCATCACGACTGGGAGAACTAGTAGGAAGCCATATCTTTGGGCTTTCCTGAAAGTGGTGACTCTTGTAATTTGGCATACCCACGGGGAACTTGGAAGCTATGTGTCCTTGGAGTTACTACAGAAATACTGGCTCTTACGGGTCAGGAAGCTCTAAGCCAGGGCACCTTACACACCTGTCAGATGTGAATCTTGTTTCTTTACCTGAACTGTCCCTGGGGGAAAGATGGCTCCTGGCTATATGGACTGCTGCCAGGACTCCCACGGAAGACTGACACTGTGACAAGCTGTGGTTCCTGTCTTCTCACCTTGACCAGCGCCGATTGTGTCCTTGAACCTGAATGCTTAGTAGAGCCTGAAGAAAACTCCCTGAGTGGGTGTTGCAGTGTTGTCCAACACAGGGAGCTCTCTTCTAAGCATACTATTTTACTTATTACGGTGGAACCCTTATAAAATTCCTTCTACCAAAACTGGGATACAAATTCCGAGGTTCTGATCTTCTGGAAGACCGGTGTTATTCTTCAGTGTACTTTTGTTACGGTCAGTCAGACCTGGATAAGATCACAGTTCATTCTTACTCAAATGAAGCAGTGCTTAGTAATACACCCTACTTGATAGGGCTTATGTGTTGTGGCCTGCTTGCTTTTATTTTCCTTGAGTTGGTTGCCTCCATTTAACTTTGAAATGCTAATATTAATACTAAATTTCTTCAAATTTTATTTAGGTGTTATGAGATGGAAAAAAGGCTAAAAACACCAGATCTTTTCAAATTCCCTTTCTTTGAAGCCATATGTTGGTTTGTAGCCAAAAATTTGCTGGAAACCTTGAAAGGTAATTACTAATCTTCACATTATGATGTATGATGTTTGTAAATTCCACTGAAAGCCACTGAGAGAAAGGCCCTTTTTTATTATGGTGTAACTGTTGCCCCTATTTGGCTTTTGAAATGCACGATTTCTCCCTGCCAAGAACCTTTTTAGCAAATCGGAGTCTCTAGTCCGTGGCCTTAAAAATCAGATATATGAAGAGCTGTAGCAGAACAGCATAGGTTATACTGAAAAATGTTCATTTCACCTTGGACTCTAGTAGCCTGCACACACTGTCAGGCATGTAAAAGGGCCTCCCTCACAAAAATGGAGTTTAAGCTAAGAGACTGTTACTGTAATGTGAATTTTTTATGTCCTGAAAGAATCAGGTAGCACCTGTTTCATTGCCCTTAATGACGATTAGGCTGGCCAGTTTCAGGTCCCTGTTAGCACAAAACAGCTGAGTGTCAAGCTATGAGTCTGTTGTTGAAAAAATGTTTTTTGGGAAGGGGAAATTCTTTTATTTAAACTTAGAAGCTACCAGGCACCTGGGTGACTCAGTCAGTTAAGCCTCCGACTTGGGCTTAGGTCCTGATCTCACGGTTTGTGGGTTCAAGCCCCGCGTCAGGCTCTGTGCTGACAGCTCAGAGCTTGGAACTGCTTAGGATTCTGTGTCTCCCTCTCTCTCTGCCCCTCCCCTGCTTGTGCTGTCTCTTTCTGTCTCTCAAAAATAAATAGATGTTAAAAAAAATTTAATCTTAGAAGCAACTTTTTTAATGTGGAATTTCATATTTTGGTGTTTTATCTTTGGTTTAATAATCTTTGAGCAGTCAAGTTTGGCACAGATTGTCATGTCTACTTTTATCCATGTTCTCACTTGTGCTCATGACAATACAGTTTGTCTGGTTTTTGTGTTGTCTGACTTTTCTAGTCAGTTTGTAAATTGTGCTATTAAATTAACTCTCAGAAGGGGGCGCCTGGGTGGCTCAGTGGGTTAAGTGTCTGACTTCAGCTCAGGTCATGATCACATGGTTGGTGAGTTCAGGCCCCTTGTCGAGATCCTCTGTCTCTGTCTGCTCCTCCCTGACTTGCCTTCTCTCAAAAATAAATAAACATTAAAAAAAAATTAACTCTCAGAAAAACAGATGAAAACAAACGGTAAAGTCTGTTCTAAACATTTGTTTCTTTCTCCATTTAAAAGTTGCACAAGAATAAAAGGTAAAATGAAAAGAAACAATCAATAATTTCCCAGGATAGAATGCACAGAATTAAATGATAAAACTCATTTATGTTTCTTTCCTCAAGACACACACACACACACACACACACACACACACCCACACCCACAACCTCCCTCTCTTTGAAAGGAAAAAAAGAACAGTAGGGCTCCTTCCCACATTTGCAGCAGTGGAGGTAGATGTCTTAATGTGGTGCAGGTATACCGTCATATATATGATGGAGGAAGGAGACCATGGATGAAGAGGAATGGGTGCTTTCTCCACAAGACCAGTCTCCAGAAACGCATCCTAATCCTAAATCCCTGACTCATTGAGTGTTTTCAGGTTTTGGTGAGGCTGAGCCCCACCTCATCTTCAGTGAGCATGCCTTGATGTCTGGACGGCAGGAATCTCCCGGTGGACCATACATAGAGTTGCCGTGTGTGGTTTCCAGTAAAGTACTGGGTAGTAGAAGCCTACATAAATAGGAACACTTACAAGTACTTATAAAAATGTTTATAAATGTCCTTGGTTTTTGGAAATAAAACCCTGTTACTGAATTCTCCAGATAAGAGATTGGCAATTCAGTACTCAGAAAGTTCAGAGTCTTTTTCCGTCTTTTCTCACTAACATACACCCAGCCCTCGAGTGATGCTTTTCCTTTTTTTTTTTTTAATGTTTATTTACTTTTGAGAGAGAGCACACAAGCAGAGGGGCAGAGAGAGAGAGGGGGACAGATGATCTGAAGCGGGCTCCATGCTGACAGCAGAGGGCCCAGTGTGGGGCTCGAACCTGCGGACTGCAAGATCATGACCTGAGCCAAAGTAGGACACTTAACCATTTGAGTCACCCAGGCGCCTCAAGTGGTATTTTTTCCTAATGTCCAAGACAGGTTCATCAATCAACTTTTTGGAACAAATTAAAAAATTTATCTGAAAGACAAAATCTTGCTGTTCCTCTTGCACCCACAAACAGCAAATTGCTTAGAATATTGATTTAGCCTTTGTTTCAGGCCATTGAGAGTTCAGAAATACAGAGGTCTGATTGAAAACATGGCCCTGTACATTAAAGACTTAAAAAGATTTACTATAAACGGATATTGGTAGCTCAAGTTTTTAAATATTTTTATTTCATCAGTACAGGATCAGTATGGGATAGGATAGCCGGCAACACGAGCGAGGCCATCAAATCCCACTAAGGCTGGGGCCAAGTGGCCGTTGTACCAATTGCTCATCATCCTAGGCATTCAATCCTGGAAGCGGGAATGGTGGTCTTGTCACCCCACATTATGTCCTTTCACCCCTGACCTTTTAACTTGCCATCGGGGCCTGTTACTTACCAGCTCTCAGACTGTTATTAGGCTTATATGATGGGTAAAATGAGGATAGATTGTATGAAACTTAATTGTGTTTAGTGTCAGTAATAATACAGCAATGAACTAATTTTGGACTTGTGTAACTAAATTAGCCACTGGACAGAAGTAAAACCTTTTGCTTTTGGTTCACCTTACCCAAATTTTAGACCATATCATACATAAATAGAATACATTTTGTGTGAGTTTTAGATAATTAGTTTGGTTTAAAGACTCGGAAAAGGTATGCGCATGTGTGTGTGGTGTGTTTACCTTTATAATCATGAAATATGTCATGCCTATAGCTGACTGTGTAGACAACACACACTGTGTAGAGTGCACGGGCTTAACAGTTTAAATAATTACAAGGCTCACCTGGAGAGCATAAACAGCCTTGCCAAGACGTTTGAAACGTCCAGTTATTTTTCCCACCGCTCCCCCACCTTCCCTTCTAGAGAGAACCACTGTCCTGACTTTTGTGATAATCCTTTTCTTCGTTTTATCACCTCTGTCACAAGTGATAAAATAGCACAATGTTTTCCGTTTTTAGAGTTCACGTGAGTCGATCCATATGACATTATTTCATGATTTGTCCCTTCCTCAGCACTGTGTGAGCTTCTTTTTGCCTGGAGCACCTAGTACAACTATGCTTAAATGTAATTCCATTTCTTTTTCTTTCTTGCCTTTTGTTTCACTTTTTTCCTCTCTGGTAACTTGGAAGTTACGCACTCTGATAGTCGGTGGTTGCTCAGCGTCTGAAGTTAGCCCTTTTCTCCGTTGTAACTCCCTTCCCCGCTCCGCTTCCCTTCCCACAGAGCTGAGAGAAGACGGTTTCCAGCCTCAAACATACCTGGTACAGGGAGTGAAGGCACTGCATGCTGCTTTAAAATTATGGATGAAGAAAGAAGTAAGTAGTTTCCTTTGGGGAAACGATGGCTACTGTTTCTATGGCAAGATCCAAAGCGCGAGTCCCGATGCTGCCGCGGCAGCACTTTGAGTGGCATGGTCAAGGGAATGGACGCTTTCAGTACGACGTGCGTTTTATCATACGTGGTGCACAGATGTCCTGGCTTGTGTTTACGCTGATGAGGATAGAGTACCTAAGTACTTCTTTAATCTTTAGCCTGAAAAGAAAACAATTCAAATATATTTAAGATGCTGAGAAAAGAACATGTAGATACAGAACGATAATAAATAACTTTGAACTCGTATCGTGTGCTAATCGCTGTGCTTAGTCTTTATATCCATAATCCCATTTAGCTCTCAGAGCAACTCTGTGAGGCTGTGATGCTCTCCTTATCCCTGTCTTACATATGGAGAAGCTGAGGTTCAAAGAGTTGTATATGACTTGCCCAAGAATACCGGAGGGTCTTGGACTAAAGCTGGGGCTCTGTAATCGCAAAGTACTCTCATCCATCTGCTAGACTTCTGTAAAAATGAAGGAAAAGGGAGGTCAAGGTTCAAGCAGGAGCTTCCATTTTCACTAAAATGTGGTCTGTTTGCATTGGAGTCCTGCTGCCTCCAAGAGGTCATCCCAGCTCCCCAATTGGAAGCTGTGTGTCCTACCCTTATGCTTAGTAGCATCTTTCTTATGCCGGTGGACTTCAAAGTAATGTCTGTAAAGTAACATATTCACATCCCCTTCACTAGGTTTATGAGCTTTTGAAGAACAGGGACTTGCCATCTTTATTCCCCTCTGTAACTTGACATGCAACTCTTTAATAAGTGATATATATGTGAGCTGATGAAAATACATTCCCATATTAATTTTTTGAATGCCTACTTGAAATAAAAATTCTGCTCTTAAGAGATACTGGAGACAATAATTAATAGGTTACCCTTCCAATAATTTTTTTTCACTTCTTTTCACTGTATTATCATCGCTATATACCCTCTAGAGCAAGGCACTGTGGAAGCATTCAGGAAAGAGAAAGTTGTGTCTTCCCCTGTCAGAGACGTCATCGTCTAGATGACACATAAAAGTGTAAACAGATTACAAAACCGTACAACCATATCATAACAAAATAAAGGATATGTGGCAAAAACTGTGTAATTTGTTTCCTGCTGAAGACTTGAGATAAGTTCTTCTCAAACTCCCGTATTTGTCAGAATCGCCTTTAGAGCTCCCTAAAAACAAACTCCCTGGATCCTCCCTAAGAGATACTGATTAAATAGATTGGTGGTGGGATCTGAACCTCTGTTTTTAACAAACTTTGTAAGTGATTTTGATGTACAGTGAAATTCATTAATAATAAATCCTGTTTATTCATCACATTCGAAGTGCTCTTTTAAAAGCATGATGTTTGCGTTTAACCGCCTGTTAACCTTGCTCTAGGATGAGAGGCAGCTTAGTCTAGTGGTCGGGAGCATGGACTCCGGAGTCAGATGTTTGGATTCAAATCTCAGCTATGCTACTAATAAACTAGCGAACCCCTGTGCATTCTTTCCCTCAAATGTAAAGTGAGAATAGTACTAGCTCTGTCATAGCGTTGGTGAAAGGATGAATGAGTTAACACCCTCAAGCGCTTAACAGTGCAGTACCTTGCCTGGCACATAGTTAGCACTTGCGGTTACTGTTGTTCCTAGTTTGTTTTAACAAGTTATGCTAAAACCAAGGAGAAGATGTAAAGCAAAAGTAAAAACTGGTTTATCAAATGCATCTGAAGAATCAAAATGTTCTTAACAACAGTTAAGATTTAGAAACAGACATAAGAAATTATGGCAGTAGTCTGCAGTTGGATAGATGGGGTTTCTCAGCAATGCGTCTGTCCTACTGATGCAATCTTTTTCCTATTAAATTAGAAAAGAAGTTTCAAAAACTTATTCAGATTAGACCTCCTATAGGAAATAGGATTATTTTAGTCCCTGTGTTCCTACTTACAAATCCTTATATACTATGAATTAAATGCTAGACTTAACTTTCCTAATTATAGTAGTAGTTAGAATTACAGTGGGCTTTGAGGGATAGAGTACAAGGTTACTTCTCAGTGTAAAGCAAAACTCACTGTAAGATAGTCCATCTTTAACTTGAGCTAAGAGGATTTCATGCTAATAAGGCTCTCCTTAAAGAGTATTATACCAACTCTGTGAACTCTGAGACCTGGCTTATTAGTATTTCGCTTAGAGAATCCAAAATTTGTTTAGTAAATTAGTTTTCACTTATTAAAGTGTAAATAACTTTGGTTGTCTTATCTTTGTTAATCCGAATCCAGCTTGTATCTGAACATGCCTTTGAGATCCCAGACAACGTCAGACCTGGACATCTTATTAAAGAACTTTCAAAAGTAATTCGCGCAATAGAGGTAAGAGTAGAAACTGTCAACTGAATGCTTGGTTACTGTCTGCTTTGAGAAGCAAACGCAGCTACCGTGACATTACAAACATTGGAAAGCACTTATACTCTTAGATGAAATAGAATGAGCTGTGTCTTGGAAGGAGTCTCAGGTTCTCAGGCTTCCAAGCTTCTACAGAGAAATTTAGAGTATTATATCATAATGAAGAAATAAAGAAGTGGTTACCAGGTTACTTGAATTTCTTCAGCTTACTCCAAGAATAAAAAAATACAAAATAAAAAAAATTTCAGATCCCATTCCTTTCTGCTATGCAGAGATGAGTATGTGTTAAGTAATTAGAGAAAGAGACAAAATGTCAGGTGAGTCGAGCCAGGTCAGGCTCGTTGGGAAAGAGGGATGCTACTGGTGGGGAAAGGCAAGGAGACCCACGTGACTGAAGTATTAGAGCAACTTGGGTTGGTAACCCCCCCTTGATAAAAGCCCATAAAATGTGAGATTAGTTGTTTTAATTGTTTAATTAGAAAACTATTTTCGGTATTAAAGGGGATTTTAATTAAAGTAATTCTTCAACAAGGTGGTTCTGTTAGTGTCTCGCTCGAAGTGAAAGGAAATTAAGTGGAGGAATGGAGGCTAAGTGGTAATTTAACAGCTTAGATTCAGGCTGTGTTTGGGGAATGGAAAGAGGTATACATCTAAGAAACAATGAAATGCTGTGTTTAATATCCTCGGATAGAATATTTTATATAATTCTCAATGTGTTCCGATACAGTGGAAAAATATTTTCCGCTTTTAAAGAGTGGTGGTAATTGCAATAAAAAGATTTTATTTATTTATGCATAGAGATAGATTTTGAAATCAAGAGTCACATATATAATCTTAAATATATGTGTAGATACATAAATGCATAAATCTCATGTGTGATAACCAAAACTAAGAATAAACTCCATAAGAAAGGAGATGTGGGTCTAGGGGCACCTGGGTGCGTCAGTTGGTTGAGCATCTGACTTTGGCTCAGGTCATGACGTCATAGTTCCCAAGTTTGAGACCTGCATTGTGCTCTCTCCTGTCAGTGCAGAGCCTGCTTCAGATCCTCTGTCCCCTGCCTCTGTGCCCCTTCCCCACTCAAGTGCATGCTTGTTCTCGCTCTCTCTCTCTCTTTTAAAAATAAATAAACATTTAAAAGATTTTTAAAGAAAGAAAGGTGTGGGTCTATATGAAAAAAAAACTATAAATCTTTAGTAAGGGAGGTGAAATAACAATTGAATAAATGTCATTTCTGAAATATGTCAATTCCAAATTGATATTACAAATTTAAAATGGTGAGATCTATCTGGAAGCATAATGGGGCAAAAATAGCCAGCAAAGTGCTGTTGTTGTTGTTGTTGTTGTTGTTGTTGTTTAAATTGAAGGGTTGAGAGTATAGAAGGCAGCAAAATGACTGTAGAAAAATGTGCCAAGAAAATAAACAGGTATCTCACTAAAGAATAGAAATGGCCAATCCAATAAAAATATGAAAAAGATTCTCAGTATGTGAAAAAGTATTCAGCCATATTTTGCCAAATAATTTATGATTCCAAATGATCGTTCATCTAATTGGCAAAGATAAAATTCTGTATTCTTGTCCTGCTGGTCAGGAAGTGTAAATTAGCTTGCGCTTTCTAAGTGGCATATCCCTTAGCTGAGCACTTGCACTTAATCCAGTAAAGAAGAGGATTCTAATTAAACTTGATATGTTGACCATACCTACTTATTGCTCTCACCTCTTGGAGCCAAAATGATAGTAAAAGAATAAAAACGATATTCCTGAAGACAAGGAGAATAATAGAAATGAACTCCAGCATGATTTTGGAAGCTGGAAAGAAGTATACAAGTGATCACCAATTTAACAAGCTTGAGAGAGCCAAAATCTGTGTGGGCAGTGGGTGAAGCCCAGAAGCAGGTCTTACTTGTACAGGAGAACCTTCAAAAAGCTCGGGAATTAGGGAGCTAGGACCCTCTGAATATCAGAGTGGAGGTGGGATTGAGAACAGGATTGATTACAGGTCTGTTTAAGAAATGAATTAATCTCCAAATCCCTGTCTTAACACATGTAGAAAACTAGGGATTTAGTGGTTTGCAAGGTTGGACTTGAGACTGGACTTGGGGACACTGAACCCAGCTGAGGGACGTGGGTACATACTGAAAACAAGGGGATTAAGTGACAGTCTACAGTGAATGATTCTTTTTCCACCCGACTCTCCAAACGCTGGCACCCTGGCCTATACCTCCCAGGCCAGGAAGAAGATCCGCTGATAGTGACCGTTTGAAACCTTCCTGAATGGAACAACTCAGGCAGCTTCCTACAGTGAAACCCACCAATTGACAAAGCCCTACTTACACAGAGCTCCCAATTAGCTTTTTTCTTTTTACATACAGTCAAATGCACAGATCATAAAAGTACAGTTCGAGTTTTGACAAAAACAGGCAGTTGTGTAACCAATACTGCAACTGAGATACAGAAATCATTTTTGTCATCCCAGAAAGTCCTTTCTCCCCAATATAATCTGACTAATAAAAGCCACCACCATTCAGACCTCTGTGGCTCTCATCATGAATTAGTTTGCCTGTTCTTGAATTTCAAATAAAGGCGACCATGTAGTGCATACTATTTTTGTGTCTGGCTTCTTTCAGCTTAATGCTTTTGAGATTCATCCGTGTTGTTGCATCAGCCAGTAGCTGTTTTGTGGTTGCTGAGTGGTATTTCATTGAATGAATATACCATGATTTGCTTTCCATTCTTCTGTTGATGGATATTTGGGTTACATATGGATGTGGTCGGTATGAATTAAACTGTTATAAACAACGTTGTATGTCTTTTTGTGGTAAATATATGTTTTCATTTGAGGGGGAGGGTAAGTATCTGGGAGTAGAGTTACCAAGTCATAGGGTAAGTGAATTTCCACTTTATAAGAATCTGTCAGACCGTTTTCCAAAGTGGTTGTGCCACTGTCACCACTAAGGTATAGGACTTGTAGTTGTTCCATATTCTTGCTATATATTTGGGGTTTTCTGTCTTTTTAATTTTTGCTTTCCCAGAGATATGAAATACTGTTTCATTGTGGTGTTAATTTGCATTTTCCTGACGACTAATGATGTTGAGTGGCTTTTCTTGTACATGGCTGTTTATATATCTTTTCTTATGAAGTATCTGTTGGAAGTTTTTGCCCATTTAAGAAATTATATTGTTTTTATTATTGATTAGTAGGAGTTCATTATATATCTTGGACACAAATTCTTTTTTTTTAATGTTTATTTATTTTGAGAGGACACAAGTTCTTTTTAAAAAATGTTTATTTATTATAAATAAAATTTATTTATTTGGGGGAAGGGCAGAGAGAGGAAGAGAGAGAATTCCAAGCAGGCTCCAGGCTCAACGTGGAACCTGATGTGGGGCTTGATTCCATGGCCTGGGACCATGACCTGGGCTGAAATCAAGAGTCGGAGGCTTAACCGACTGAGCCCCCCAGGCTCTTAGACACAAGTTCTTTGTCCTTTGGCATGCCTGTGTTCATATATGATGAATATAGTGAATATTTACCCACAGCCTGTGGCTTATCTTTTCATTCTCTTTTTTTTTTTAATTTTTTTTTCAACTTTTTTTTTTTTTTTTTTTGGGACAGAGAGAGACAGAGCATGAACGGGGATAGAGAGAGAGAGGAGACACAGACCCGGAACAGGCTCCAGGCTCCAGCCATCAGCCCAGAGCCTGACGCTGGGCTCCGAACTCACGGACCGCATCATGAGATCGCGGACCTGGCTGAAGTCGGACGCTTAACCGACTGCGCCACCCAGGCGCCCCTCTTTTCATTCTCTTAATAGTGTCTTTTTATGAGCAGAAATTTTTAATTTTGAAGAAGTCCAATTTATAAATTTGTTTTCTTTTATAATATTTTTTTTGCGTCCACTCTAAGAAATCTTTGTCCACCCCAAGATTTGAAGGTACTTTCTTTTTTCCTGGAAGCTTTTACATTTGGGTACATGGGCAATCTTGAATTTTCATGTATAGCATAAGGTAAATTAAGGCATTATTTTCCCCCTACATATTTATCTAGTTCTCTTGCCACAATTTCTTGAAACCAATTAGCTTTTTAATTATGCTTTCTCTTTTGGGGTGTATGGGTGGCTCGGTTGGGCGTCCGACTTCGACTCAGGTCATGATCTCGCGGTCCATGAGTTCAAGCCCCACGTCGGGCTCTGTGCTGACAGCTCAGGGCCTGGAGCCTGCTTCAGATTCTGTGTCTCCCTCTCTCTCTCTCTCCTTCAAAAATAAACATTTAAAAGACATTTTTTTTAAATAAAGAAATAAATGCTTTCTCTTTTAAAATGCATGGAGAACCAAGAAGAGTTTTGAAGGCAAAGACAAAAAATAAAAGAGAAAAAGAAAAAAAAAAGTATTTGAAGGAAACAACAACCAATAAACAAACAAATCTTTAGGCCCAAACCCAAATATAATTGATATCTTCGAGAGAAGAGAGTAAATAAATATTGCTTCCATGAGAAAAGAACAGGTGGCTATAACAAAGAATATTTAAAGAAGAAAGGAAAGGGGTTCTTGGAAATTAGAAATATAATAGAAATAATATTTAGCAAAATCACTGGAAGATAAAGTTGGGAAAAATCTGCCATAAAGTTAAAAAATAAAATTAAATTTAAAAAGGCCAAATAGGACAGAACAATTAGAAGGTCATTTTACATAGTCACCATCAAAATAATAGAAAGTCCAGAAAGAGATAACGTAGAAAATAAGGAGATTATCAGAGGAGTAATCCAAGAAAATGTTTTAGAATTCAAGGACACAAGGTCCTAGATTGAGACCCTACAGAATGCTGAGTACACTAGGTGAGAAAAGACCTATGCCAAGGCCCATAGTGGTCACATTTTAGAATACATGTAACAGAGTAGATTCTAAAAAGCGTTAGGAAATAACGCATTAGGAATCAGAATAATATCAGACTGCTCAACAGTGACACTGTAGAACTAGAAGACAGTGAAGCAAAGTCTTTTAACATTCTGGGGGAAGAGGGTGATGGGAGCGATGTCAGCCTACAAAAGTCTGTATTCAGCCAGCCATACTTTAAAATAAAGATGACAGGGGGCGCCTGGGTGGCGCAGTCGGTTAGGCGTCCGACTTCAGCCAGGTCACGATCTCGCGGTCCGTGAGTTCGAGCCCCGCGTCGGGCTCTGGGCTGATGGCTCAGAGCCTGGAGCCTGTTTCCGATCCTGTGTCTCCCTCTCTCTCTGCCCCTCCCCCGTTCATGCTCTGTCTCTCTCTGTCCCAAAAATAAATAAACGTTGAAAATGTTCTCCTTTAAAAAAATAAAAAAATAAAAAATAAAATAAAAAAAAAAAATAAAATAAAGATGACAAAGAGGCAGGATTTCAAAAGGTTTGCCTCCCATGTACCCCTTCTCAGGAAACTCTTAGGTGCTGTTCCAAAAGAGAGGAAGTAAATAACACCAACAAAAGAAGGAGCTCCGGAATTCTTCCAACAAACAGAATACCTACTGTGTGCTGTGTCCATCTAAGATGGGTATAGAACACTGAAGAAAACAGAGGCCGTGCCCATATGGAGCTGAGTAGGAAGAGGCTAGCCATAAATACTTTAATGTATCCGGAATTAACAAATGCTATGAAGAAAAATAAAGAAGGGGAAAAGATAGAGAGTGACAGCCAGAGATGGTGGTGGGGGTTGCAATTTTAAGTGGTGGAATGCAGTTTTAAGTGGGTGGGGGTTGCAGTTTTAAGTGGCAGGTCAGGAAGGGTTTTTGATGAGCAACCAGCCAAGGATGGATCAGGAGAATGAAGGGCTCTATATTTGTTGTTAATCTGAAATTCAAATTTAGCTGAGCATCTTGTACTTTAGCTGGTGTTCCTGTCCAGGAGGCATGTCACTAAAGAAAAATATAAAATTGATAGATTACCTAATGTGTTTGAATATTCTTCCAGTGGAGAATTTTGAGATCAGTTAGTGATAAGTACATAGAAAACAAAGCAGAGGGTGAGACAAATATAAATTCAAGGGAGAGTCAAAGGATGTAAAAGAAAGGAAATGTAATAAGTCGTGGCCCTCAGTCACGTAATTTTCACTGAGTCCAGTTTACTGAAGGAAGAGGAAATATGTGTACATTTAGGAAAAGTGTACAAGGATTAAAACTTCATCTTGCGTAGTAGGAATTCAGTAATATCTAAAGCTGAAAAATCAAGAAATAACACTTTAAAAAAGTGTTTCTTTTTTGAGAAGTGTTTCTTTTCTTGAAAAGTGTTTCTTTTTGAAAAGTGTTTCTTGAAAAGTGTTTCTTTTCTTGAAAAATCAAGAAATAACGTGATTAGAAATTTGTGGGCAAATAACTGAACAAACAACACCACCAGCACCAAAACAGCTACAAGAGTTGGAAGTGCTGGGTATATGTCCCAAAGGATTGAAAGCAGGGTTTTCATGCACGTTCATAGTAGCATCATTTACGCAGCCCAAAGGTGGAAGCAGCCCAGCTGTCCATCATGGATGGATGGGTGAACAAAGAGTGGTATAGACATCACATACACACCTGGGACTATTACTCAGCCTTGAGAAAGAAGGGAATTCTGACACATGCCACACTGTGGATGAACCTTCAAGATACCGTGTTCAGTGAAATAAGCCAGTCACAAAGATACTACTGTTGTGTGGTTCCACTTACATGAAGTTCCGAGAACAGTCAAATTCATTGAGAAAGTAGAATGGTGATTGCCAGGGGCCGGTGCTGAGGAGGAATGGGGAGTTACTGTATTTGATGGGTACAGAGTTTAAGTTTGGGAAGATTAAGAGGTTCTGGAGGTGGATGGTGGTGATGGTTGCATCACAATGTGACTGTACTTACTGCCACGAACTGTACGCTTAAAAATGTTAAAATGGTAAGTTACGTATATATTACCATATATGTGGTGCAAAATCACGTGGATGTCACTACAATAAAAAGAAACTTGCAAGTGGTTACCTCAAGAGGATGGGAATCAGGGATGGGGAAGAGGAGACAACTGCTTTTCATGATACGTTTTATAGAGTTAATTGTTAAAACTACATAGATGGGTGACTTTGGTTTAAAAAACAGTTGCTGATTTATGCAAATATGTATGTGTGAAAAAATGCTTATCATAGGAAAGAACTGGAAGCAGACTGTAATAACTACCAGTGGGTATTAGGTCAATAAATTATGCTATATCTATACAGTGGAACACAACCTAGCTTTCAAAATGGTATTTGAAATCAAAGAAATACGTTCACAGTATATTACATGGGGGAGTGAGGGGAATAATGGTCTCAGCAAAGCTTATGTTGAGTCTTAGGAGTGTTGTGATTTGGTCTTTGTTTTTTACATGATCGAACTGAATGGTTTTTGTTTTCTAAAATGTTTTTGTGGCTGACTGTTTAGTCAGGTATATATGGTGGCCTTGTCATAAAAACACTCTGAATTTCATTCTTAAAGGAGGAAAATGGCAAACCAGTTAAATCTCAGGGAATTCCTACTGTGTGTCCAGTTTCACGATCCTCAAATGAAGCAACTTCCCCATATCATTCCCGACGAAAGATGAGGAAACTTCGAGATCATAATGTCCGAACTCCTTCTAATCTAGACATCCTAGAGCTCCATACAAGGGAGGTCCTCAGAAGGTTAGAGATGTGTCCGTGGGAAGAGGCAAGTATTATGTTTCATTGTTACAGAAAGAGACTTGGCTGTTCCTGCAAGTTCTTTAGAAGGGTCATAAAAAGAAGAGTGTGGCCATTCTTGTTTTCTAATCTTTGCTTAGCGTTGTAGGGGTCAACAGTACTGATGCTTATGACAGGGAACAGGCTTCATTCAGCTTTGTAGGCATCGGTGTAGAAGTAGGATGAATAGATCTCATTTATCTACGGACATGTTTATTGTTTACCAAATGCCCTGTGCTCTTCTAGGCTCTGAAAAAGATACTGGAGTGAGCGAAACTTAAGTCTCTGCTATTGTGTGGCTTCCATCCTAGCTCAAGTTGGAAGGATGGAACATGAGGCATATACTAAAATGTTGTAATTTCAGATAACAAGTATTATAAAGGAAGCCAGAACAAACAGTAGAGCAAGAGAATAAAGGGCCTGGTGCATGGCTGGCTACTTTAGCTGGGGCCGTCAGAGGGCCTCTCAGGTGGGGTGGCATTTGAGCTGACAAACACTGGAAGAAGTCAGGTGGATACAAAGATTTGAGGAAACAGAGGGAAAAGCAGTTGCAGAAAGCCTATCCCTGACTCAACAGCACCAGCATGGGGGCCTGTTGGACAGGAAGACGGTCAGAATAAACCCAGAGAAACTGTCAGAGAAATGCTGGCACAATGGACAAAGGGGAGAGGGCGGACCTTTGTAAAACATGGTAATGAGTTTGTGATGAGATGCAGATCACCCATCAATTTACATCCTAAGTAAAAGATAGGAATAATTTAAAATGAATAAGAAAAAAGTACTTCTGACTTAAAATATTTAAAGAAGTTCCGTAGGAATTGTAACAAATATTTTACATTTTTATGTAATTGTATTGATACTATTTTAAGCTTTTGTTGTTCTAAACCTTTTTAACCGATAGCCCTCTGGAAAAGACGTAGCTTATTATGAAAGGTTCTATTTATTACTAAAGAAAAAAATCACCACCAAAAGGAAATACTCTCTATTAAAAACCAGCTACTGTTGTTCTTTTATGTCACACAGTGGCCTTTGTCCCTCGTGATGGCAGGGTGGTGGTCTGTGAGTTGCTGATGGTGCCTCTTGGGAAGACTAGAGATTAGGTCAAGAATAGGATGACTGGGAGGGACTAGTGCTTTGCAGGAAGAAGCAAGGAAATGAGAATTAAAATACATTAAGGCACTGCTTTTCTAGCTTTTCAGCTTTCCGCAAGAGTGAAATGTCTTTAAATTCACTTTATGTAAATTTTACATTCTGCTTTATAGAATGTGTTTTATTGTCAATGGCCCTACAGAAAGATAAACCATATTTATGCTTTGGTTTTAGGAACCACATAGCTTTAGTGCCACACGTTGTGTATCCCCTGGCCTAGGGGGCTGCCTAGCACAGCTTGGGATTCAGGGCCATGGAGGAAGGTAGCAGTATACTGCATTTCTTTTGTCAGGCAGGCACGTTTGAGGGCAGATGCTAAGTTCAATTCTGTTTTTATACTTTAAGGACATCTTGAGCTCTAAACTGAATGGAAAATTTAACAAACATCTCCAGCCATCTTCCACGGTACCTGAATGGAGAGCAAAAGATAATGATCTACGATTATTGCTGACAAATGGAAGGATAATTAAGTATGTAAAGTAGATCACAGTGTCATACAGATGAGTTTTCGGTGGATTCCCTGTGTTCATTTAATCCCTAGTCCATATTATTGCACGTCTGACTCAAATACAGGGACAGCATCTCGGTTTTCCACTCCGACTGTAAATTAGGGGAGAGGGTATACTATTTGGCTGCATCATTGCACTGTTTTGTGACTTGGTCACTTTTCCCTCCATGTACAGGGATGAGAGACAGCCCTTTGCAGATCCAAGTCTTTATACAGCAGATAGTGAAAATGAAGAGGACAAGAGAAGGACAAAAAAGGCCAAAATGAAGATGGAAGAGAGTTCAGGAATAGAGGGGGTGGAGAATGAAGAATCTCAAAAACCACTTAACAGTATGTTTGTTTTAATGGTCGCTTTAAAGGTCTGCTTATTACCAATGTGATAATGTGTAAAATATCTTGCTAACTTTAAGATTCTTAAATTCGTGGCAGGATTGAAAATTGTCGTGTCCCTAATACTCTTTTGAGAAATCTGAAGTGTTTCCGAGTAGTGTGTCCATCGGGGAAATGTGGGTGCGGATGCCAAGTGAGGTGTAATGCACAGGGAAGGCATTTTTAGTGACAAGGATACGTGCTGGTCAGTGACACCTTTGTCTAGTGGCAGTTTTTAGCAAGAGTCACATGAAAGCCTGTGCGTTTTATGGGCCTCTACTCCAAATAATAAAATAGTCACCAGTTTAATAACAGCCTCATAAATAATTTTAGCTATCATGTATATGGTTTTCAGAATTAGGAGGCAGTACAGTTGGCTGGTCTGAAGCTGTTAGTAATCCATATATTGTTTTATTTGATTGCCTGTTGACAGGACCACCTCTGCTTGGTTATTGTCAGCATGACAAATAGTAACACTTCCTCCTTCTTGAGATCGTTCTTGTTTGAATGAAGTCTTCATTTCTTAGCATTTTTCAGAGCCTCTGTGTACACTTCTATTTTAAAAAGTAGTTAAGTATTTTGATAATGACAAGAAAAATTAACATCAAGTCCATTTTGGATACGTCAGTTCCTGCTAATTCCAAGTAAATTTGGTGTGGCTGTGCATGTGTTCACACGCCAGGGGGAAGGCAGCTCATCGGTGGGATTAGCAGACAGTTGTTATGTGGTGATGCCACGTGGGAGAGAAGGGCAGTGGCAAAGCCTGGTTTTCACACTTCTTGAATTCGCTATTCACGTGAATGCTTTTTCGGTTTAGGAGAGTTATCTTTTTGTTTTTTGTTGAGTGAAAGAATGCAAAAGGGAAAGTGAAAAGCATCTTGTAGCTAATTTTAGCGTCGGAGGTTTTTTTCTGGAAAGAAATACAAAATTTCCACGCAAATGAGGACTATATCATCATGTTCAGTAAAGGCCACAAACGTTTTAAGAGTACAGTTCAGTCTGTATCATGGTCAATTAGGGAGAAAGTCTCTGGGGGAAGAAAGAAATGAACAAGATGAAAGCAGTGGAAAAGGGGAGAGCGGGGCAGTCGAGATAGACCTGGAGGCTGGACCAACTTCAGGTACCACCTTGCTCATAAGCTTCCACTGACTTTCCTTTTTCCCTCTTCCTTTTCCTTTGTAGGGTTTTTTACAAGTGTGAAATCAGAACTCAGGAATCGATCATCAGAATATTCTGATATTTCTGATTCAGAAGACTCTGGACCTGACTGCACTGCACTGGTATGCCCAAACCCCTGTGACTACTGCAATCTTTGATGGAAAGATGAACACCTACTTTCCTTCACCTACGAGGAAAGTAAATGACAGCTTTTTCCAAAGCCTGTCTCCATGACCTTTGTGGCACCCGGTCTTCCCTGTAATGGTGATTACACACATGCACGTGTACACATACCCCCAGTCACAGACTATTTACATTTGATAAATGTGGCTTTTGTCTCGTTTTAGAAAGGGTGGGTAGAAATACTGTTCTTATATTTCTCATAGGTTATGTTTCATTTTACTTTAAAGAAATCCTGTACTGTATGTTTTTGTACTAAGGAGTTACGTACTGTAATTGCTAGAAACTTTAGCTGTCGTATGAAATACAGAAATAATTCCATGATAATTAAGATTCTGACTTTGCCTAGACTGATAAAGTGTTTTTGGTTGGTACAGACTTACTCAGATTTCTTACATTATTTGCTTCCATTTAATTATTTATTATCTCAGAAAAATAATTTTACCACTGAAGAGTCTGAAAGTTCAGGTGATGAAAAGAAACAAGAAATAACATCAAACTTCAAGCAGGACTCTACTGTGATGAGGAACTTTGTTCAAAAGGGCCAGAAGCCATCTAGGAATGAAATTCCAGTTAAAAGGTAGGCTTGGGGTGCCTGAGTGGCTCAGTCGGTTAAGTGTCTGACTCTTGATTTCAGCTCAGGTCATGATTTCACAGTCGTAGCATTGAATCCTGTGTCAGGTTCTGTGCTAGGCATGGAGCCTGCTTGAGATTCTCTCTCTCCCTCTCTCTCCCTCTCTCTCCCTCTCTCTCCCTCTCTCTCCCTCTCTCTCCCTCTCTCTCCCTCTCTCTCCCTCTCTCTCCCTCTCTCTCCCTCTCTCTCCCTCTCTCTCTGCCCCTTCCCTGTTCATGTGTATGTGTGCTCTCTCTCAAAAAAAAGTTAGGCTTATTGATGGTAGTAGTGTTATTACATTGTGATATAAATTATATGAAAAAAATTTTTTTATTTTAAATTTTACTAAAAAGTGTCAAAAGAATAAATAAACTCTTGTCCTTTTACTTATCTTCTCTTTAGGGAATGTCCTACCTCGACGAGCACAGAGGAAGAAGCGATTCAGGGCATGCTGTCTATGGCAGGGTTGCACTATTCCACATGTTTACAAAGGCAGATACAAAGCACAGACTGCAATGGTGAAAGAGACTCTCTCCAGGATCCCAGCGGCTGCCACAGCAGTAACCATGAGGTCAGACAGGTGTATCGCTGTGATAAACCAGTGGAATGTGGTAAGAAACATAAATTAGTCTCTAAAATGTAACCTGTCTCCCCCAACTAATAGCTCTGTAATCCTAGCTGCAGTTAAAGATTATGAGTAAGAACTGTTGATCGGACATCTTTAGTTGGAGATGGTGTTACGCTTATTGGCCAAAAAATACATAATGTTGATGTATACAAGATGCGAGTATAAGAACTCAAAATGTAAATTAATGGCTGGAGAATCATGTTCACTGGCATAATCCTACCAGTTCTGTTGCAAGATAGTTAGTACTGTTTCCCTTTCCTAAGCTGTTCAGAGTGGAAAGAATGTTGAGGCATCACATGGTCTGCTAGGCTTGAACCATCAACCCTCTTTCCTTTCATGGGAGGGGAAACAAGTTTTGATCTCTTTCTGGTTGAGAATATTCTCTCTCCTACTTGCAAAAGAAGTACTGGGGAAGAGAAGACTCAGTGACAGTATTAGTGATGTCATGTAGTGTTTTTGTTCTCTGTGCCTTGAGGGAAGATTTTGTCTACCGAAAGTCTGAGGAAGACGGGTGGAGAAGACAGTACCACATTAAAACGAAATTCCTGTTGTAGAAATTGTGTTCATTCCCACCTAGTTGTGTGAATTGTCTGCCAGATACTTGACATCCATTTCATTTAGTCCTTGAAACAACATTTTGGTGTATGTAATAACGCTTTTATAGGAGGAGGCAAGAAGACTTAATAAAGCTAAGTGAACTTGCCTGTACTTACAGTACTTACATAGCTATTATAGTATTACATAGCTATTATTTGTTGGTATTGGAATTTAAACCCAGGACTGTCTGATCTCAAAATCTGGGCTTATTGTAGAAGAGGAAACTGAGGTTTAGCGATAACCTGCCTGAAGATGCATTGGTAATGGAAAAACTCAGATTCAGGTCTGGGTTTATCTGTCTGTCCACACCATTGTGTCTCCTTGTAATTTCTCTGGTCCCTTGAAAAGAAGGCTTCTAGGAAAATACTGCGGAATTCAGGCAAACATATGCCTCTATCCTATATGGAAAAATATACCAGTTTTAGAGTATGTTGCATTTGGTTTCTCATCTCCAACAGATGGCCTTAGAATTTGACTCTAGATCTTCCAGCATCTGGCACAAAACCTGTCATAGAAAGACAGTCTTGGAGAGAATTGAAAGGTTTAATGTGTTAGATTGTGAGCTGGTGGCTGTTTTATTCTTGGGAGGGAAACAAGTGTGGCGGAAGTATGTGCGTAAGTACCTCGAGGGTTAACATACTGTTTTTGTTTTTTGTTTTTTGTTTTTTTTTAATAAAATGTCCACCTAAATGTACTTTCACTTTTAAACATTAGGCGAATTTTGTTCATTACGATCAAGTCTGTACGGAGATGATTTAATTAAAACATCTCTTTAGGGTACCATGTCAAGACTGAAGATCAAGACTTGAGGAGTTCTTCCTGGAGAAAACAGTTGGATACCACTTCCAGATTTCATCTTCAGGTATGTGCCAGGCTCGAAACATCAAAAGGAGATTGAAGATTGTTATTAACTCTTTTTTGCTTTCTATTATTTTTTTTATTTTTTACTGCAACCAGTAATCAACCGTTCGATCTGTAAAGGTAAAAAAATAATTTACAGTTAAATGCACATTTAACAGCTCTCCTCCTTACGGGTTTCCGATGTAACAGCTAATGCAAGCCATGTGGATATAATGTGATCTGGAAAAGAATAGTTGATATAAGGAAAGTTAAAAACTCCTGAAGCCAACACTTTTAAGTTATGTCTGGGTAGAGTGAAAGGGAAAAAGAGTACCATGAAGATCTCTTTTTAATCTCTGACAGTGTTTCTTGAACATTTTTAGATAGTAAATTTCTTTGAAATTTGATGACAGTTATAGATTCTCTTTCCAGAAAAATGTTCATCATAAATACTGATTTTTGCATAGAATTTTCTCACGGTTTGTGTCCCATCCTTACCCCAGACCATCCACTGACTCCAGATTAGGAGCCCCTGCTCTAAGAGAAGAGACACTTGATGTCTTGGGATCCCAGTGTATTATTGCTTATACCAAACAAAATGAACCCAAAATAGCTTTTTGAAAAGCCACAGCCTTACCAGTAGCACATACAAGGAAAGTGATACGACCTTTTGCTGCAAACCTTGGAAAATGACAGAGGAAGAATCAAAATTCTCATGTGGCAGAGTTGAGTCCCCTAACCTTCCCAACGCCAAGCATACTCTGAGCAGTGGATTTTATGTGTGGTTTTTATTTTCTTCATTTGGCTTATCCACATTTTCTAAATAGCTATCGATTTTACAATAAGAAAAATAAGCAAGTTATTTTTTTAAGGCAAAGTTTCGTAAGTACAAGTTCTTTTAATAGAAGAATATGCTCCAGAATCAAAGGTCAAGGAAGGAATCCTTTAACTATTAGTAATTCACTCATTCAGTGTATGATTTTTTTTTTTAATTTTTTTTTTTTTCAACGTTTATTTATTTTTGGGACAGAGAGAGACAGACCATGAACGGGGGAGGGGCAGAGAGACAGGGAGACACAGAATCGGAAACAGGCTCCAGGCTCTGAGCCATCAGCCCAGAGCCTGACGCGGGGCTCAAACTCCCGGACCGTGAGATCGTGACCTGGCTGAAGTCGGACGCTTAACCGACTGCGCCACCCAGGCGCCCCCTCAGTGTATGATTTTATAGTACCTCACTGGTCATAAAATTTATAATTTGTTAGTATTATAGGACTCAATATTAAAAAATAAGCTATTATTTGAATCTTTTGTTTTTTATATTTTTTTAATTTTAAAGAGAGAGCATGTGAGGGAGGGAAGGGGGGAGGGAGGGAAGGAAAGAGAATCTTAAGCAGGCTCCACACTCAGCACAGAGCCCAG